AAAGGAAGAGTGACTCGTCAAGATTCCCAAATTCATATTTTATTAGGAGAAAATAAAAACAGAAATAAGCAGGAGCGCGGTGTTTACTGCAGCCCCGGACGTGCAGTGCATGCTGGTCCCAAGGCCCGCAGACATCCCCGAGCTGCAGCAGCAACAGGATGGAAGAGCAGCAATACACAACATTATTCATCCTGTACTTTATAGCACTTTACGCCCCCCAAATCTGCAGTTTAATCAGCGCGTAAACGTGATCACTTATTGGTAAATGATAATGGATGGGGCGCAGGCGCGGGGCTGCCGTTTGGATGAGCTATTGACTGCCTGTTTGCAGCAGAGAAAAAACCAGAATGTAAATGACGGGTTTTATGCAGCCGCCATCAGGGAGGAGAATTTAATCTGGAGGATTAAAAGAGCAAAAGCAACTTCCTCATTATTTAAGGTGGAAAGAAGAAAATCCAGCTTTAATGATATTAATATATTTTTTTTCCCCCAGTAAATATAATAATAATCGTCATGTTGTGATGACAGACTGATGATGTTGTTGTTGTTGCAGGTTTTGTCTAAATGGGTGGTTTTGTTTTCATCTAATCTGGATATCCCATGCATTATTTAATCACACACACACACACACACACACACACACTGCAGGTAGAGTGAACATGCATCAGTTTCAGATGTCATGTTACCACTCATTGCAGTGTGTGTGTGTGTGTGTGTGTGTGTGTGTGTGTGTGTGTGATTACAGTACAGTAGCAACCACACACACACACACACACACTCATGATCTGTCTTTTANNACACACATATATATATACATACAGTAAATACACAATGCATACAAATCACAAAACACAAGTTAATTCACCACGTTATTTATTGTCATATATAATATTACACAGAATACAGCTCTTATTTTGAAAAGGAAAGTTGACCCCGTTAAAACATAATTATTTTTTCATCTGACTGAGCACTTTTTGTGACAGAAATCAACTTTACAAATACACACACACACACACACACAGAGGACAAACTTCAGCAGCAGTGTGTCTTCAGGTGTGAATCCTCAGTGAAGTTTCCACAGCTCAGTTAACACCAGTTCAAAATAAATCAATGCTTTTCCTCAGTATTGGTGGTTATTTCCCTGTCATGTTTCTTCGGCACTGTGGTTTAAGTTACTCATTTCCCTGCCATCACCACCTGCACCGTGGACATTGGCTTACCTGTTGTCGCTTACAGCCGTTCTGTGACGTTGTGCACATGACTCATGATCTGTCTTTTAAAATAAAATAATTTGGGTCAAATTTAGAAAATGTGTCAGTTTTCTTTAGTGATGCAGAATATCACAGGAAACACTGAGCAAGAGTGAAACACAACACACACACACACACACACACACACGCACATCTTGTTCAGATGCTGATTCTTAAAAAGATTTTTTGCTTGCTAGAACTAATAAAATAGTCATTTTAATGCCACTACACTTTTTCCGAATCAACTTTATTTAGCAGCAAAAGTCCAGTTGAAATCGCGTTACTACAGCGAATATAAAGTGTATTTATTCATTTATTTTTATTGAATAAACTTTACAGCCTGTGTGAGCTCTTTGGGGTTCAGTGGGTGACATTTTATCCGTTTGTTTAGAAAATAAAGGTTTTACAGCAGAAAATAAAAACTTTACAGCGAAGATTTAACGACGACAGAAAACTTTATTTGTGCAGCTGCAGGTGTAAAGTTCAACTCTACTAATGTGTTTCTCAAACTCTTATACTGTTATTAACATCTGTGCAATAGGAATATTACCAGAATATTAGTATTTTATTTGTATTTTCAGCTTTTTTTTTTACAATGTTTTTAAACTTTATTTAACTCGCTATAAAATAATACATTTATTGTTAAAAAATGCTAACCTTTACAATGTATTGTAAACACATGTATTGGACATTTAGTTTGTTGTATGTATGTTTATTGCACTAGATACTGAAGTGACGATATAAATAAAATATATAAAGAAAAAAATATATATGTTGATTTTTGAAATTCGTAAAATAAAATGTATTAATGTATTATTTTATTATAAATCGAAAGCAGCCTACTTACATTTAAACAGAACAGTAATTTAATATGAAATGAATACTTTCTCAATATCCTAAAATGACAGTGTTACTCTGACACTGTTCTCTTTTTCTCTACCTTTTCCTTGTTGTCAACACCCTTTTTTATTTCTCTCCCACCTCTAACCAATCGATAAAATCAATTATTGCCACGAGACCTGGTTACACAGATCACAATGTGAATAATCAATAACTGAATTAATTTGACCGGATTAGATCTGAAAGGAAAAAAATTTAAAAAAACACCCAAATTAATAATGATAGTAATAATGGCAGAAATTAGCATTGATGTGAAAAGCAGCATATTGACTGCAGCACATTTAATATCCTGAGTGACGACACATTAACCTGCAGCACTGAGTGTGTGTGGAACATAAATATGGATGATTATGAGGTTAAAAAGGCTCTTTGATCAGGCTGATCTGATCTGTTATGCAACATAAAAAATCTAATGATTAACATGGTTCAAACTGATCTGTTTCATAAACACATATAACCTGCAGGCAAATGTCTGCATGCAGGCCTGCACTTTATCTGCATTAACAACGT